GGCACAACTGACCAGAAGCCAGGAGTAGACCAGGGGGTAAGACCAAGTCCCTGAGGGAGAAAAGTCATCTGGTGGTGGGTCAGCAGTGGGCCCTACAGACAGAGCAGTCGGAGAAGACCACAGGGAAGAGGGGACCGCAGAGCACGTGCCCTACATGGTGGGAGGTCCAGGCCGTGCTGGAAATGGCAGAGGAGCACACTGGCCCGTCTCACCAGGTCCAGAGACCCCAAGAAGCAAGATGCTTGACTTGCTCGAGAACCAGTAAGAGAGCTAGGTTGGAGCAGGGGGCAAGACAGAAGTCTGTCCCATTCAGCAGGCAAGAAAGCTGGCAGCAGAGAAGAGCCTGACCCAGCAGTTCTGAAAAGGGAGCACTGACACGACATGTCAAGGCGCCAGCTGCTGGAGCGCAGGGAGGGGCACGAGAGCGAGAGGCGGCGGCTGAGAGTTGATCAGGAGCTCTGGAGTTGGCTCCAGGTAGGAGGAGGAGCTACTGAAATCTTCCGCAGAGGTGATTTACAGATTTCATCGCATGTGCATATTTTTAAAGACTCTTCAGCAAATCCTATGCGCTCGAGCTTAAGAAACGCTTGTACAGCTGCTTCTCACTCCTTCTATCACTGCTCCCCCAAGCCACCAGCTTTTAGGATTTTTGTCTGGCTTAGGCAGTAACTGGTTTCCTGGTCTCCTGTGTCTATCCAATGAAAGTGTGATTTCAATGCCAAAGGCTGGTCTACAGAGAGAAGAAAGAGAGGTCACTGGAGCAGCCCCCACATTTAAACACTAAGCAGGAGAAGACAGCGAATGGTTGGTCAAGTAGGAGGGCTGGGCACGCACGAAGCAAAGTGCAGAGTGCTGCTAGGTAAGAAACGACTGACAGCGACGGCTCCTACGGGAAGGTGGGCTGGAGGACGAAGCAAAGAGCCCAAGGGAGGTGTAGAACTTGGCAGCATAGCCAGACCCTCAGCTAACTGGGAGTTTTACTCTGAACCATGAATCATTTAGGAATGTGTTTTTCAACTGATTAATACACTGTTATGTGCAGGACTCCATATTTCCACATTAAAAAGAATAGTGAAAAACATAATTTAAAAATGACTTACTACTGTTTTCTTTTTAATTAGGAGAGGTCAATTTCATTCTTTTATTACTATTTTTGCTTTATATATTTTGAGAAATGTCTTTAGGAACTTGTAAGTTTAATAGTTCCATCTATTTTGGGGCACCTGGGTGGCTCAGTGGGTTAAAGCCTGTGCCTTCGGCTCAGGTCATGATCTCAGGGTCCTGGGATCAAGCCCCGCATTGGGCTCTCTGCTCAGCAGGGAGCCTGCTTCCCTTTCTCTCTCTCTGCCTGCCTCTCTGCTTACTTGTAATCTCTGTCTGTCAAATAAATAAATAAATAAAATCTTTAAAAAAAAATAGTTCCATCTATTTCTACTCTTCTTAAATTCTTATGAAATGAGCCTGTTATTAAATGTAGTTGCCCTTCATACCCCTAAAAATGCTTTTCTATCTTGAAACTTTTTAAATAAGATATTAATAAAGCAATACCAATCCCCTCATCCCCCTGGTTAGTAGGTAGGAAAATTCTATCTATCCATCCATCCATCTCTCTCCATCCATCCGTCTATCCATCCACCTACCATCCATCTCTCCATCTTTCTATCCATCCATCCATCCTTCTATCCAACTATCCATCATCTCTATCCATCCATCCACCCACCATCCACTTTTCTATCCATCCATCCATTCACCCACCATTCATCCATCCACCCATCCATCTTTCTATCCATCCATCCCTCTCTGTAGCTACCCATCCAACCATCCAACCGTCCGTCTATCCATCTCTCCATCCATTCACCCACCACCCATCTATCCATCTTTCTATCCCTCCATCCATCATCTCTATCCATCCTTCTATCTATCCACCCACCTGCCGACCATCCATCTTTCTAAATGAAGTTAAACCAAACAGAATGCCTCTGGATGGAAACCATGGACTTCAGTGGACTAGTGAGGCTGGGTATGGTTTTATCAAGTGCGTATGTAGACCTATACGTAAATGGTTCTGAGACACATCCATGTGCATGTGTCCTGAGTCTTAAGGTAAAATGTTTCTTCTTGTAAGTCACATAAAAACGTCTACAACATTGCTGTTTTAGATACCCGTCATAAAGAGCAGAGAGCTGGCTTCTCTTTCTTGGTCACACACCAACATCTCTGACCAGTTACTGTCAGTCTGCTTGAGCTTACTTCCAAAGTCTCGTCTGTGACTCCTCTTTGTCCTGCTTTCTAGTCCCTTCCTTCTCTTCTTGCTGTTTCCCTAACACCTACTCACCCACCTACTGCTTAGGTTACAAAAGCTACGTCTAATGTTTCATAGCCGTCCTAATATGCAATTTTATTTTTTATTTTTTTATACATACCCTTAAAACGTGGCTGACAGAGCTTTAATTCTGACCACCTCTCTTCTGACAGGCAGCCACCACTTGGGTTCTACTTTTTTAATATAAAAAATCGGTTCTTATCGTTATTTGTTCTTAGAGCCAATGCTTATTTTTATCTACCCGATTTTGCATCTGAGACCCTCCTTTGGAAACCACTATCTTTTTCCTGAAATGTGTCTGTAGGAGGCTCCTTTGGTGGTGAGCTCTCTGAGGGCAGTATCTGAGCCGCCCTGCTCTTGAACGGCAACGGCATCTGACAGACAAATGCGGGCTGCCCGGCACTTCTCACCGCTTGGCGAGAACCGTGGGGAAACGTGATTTCTTCCCTGGTTGTGTTTAGCATCATCTCTTTTTCTTTTGCACACGATTTGACTGTCATCTACCGATGTGCAGATTCATGGCATTAGCCCCATTTGGGATCTTACGTTAATCCTACACCTGAGGATTTATGCTATTCACCACTTCTAGAAAATTCTCAGCCATTACCTCTTCGGAATATTTCCTTTTCCTCATTCCTTCTACTCGCTTGGAGAGCCCCTGGCAGAAATGGGCTGACTTTCTCATTCTTCATGTTACATAACGCGCCTTCATACCTTCCACACGTTGATCTCTGTGTGCTGTCTTTTGGGAAGATTTTCTCAGATCCACATTTCTGTTTACTAATTTTTCCGCTATATCAGCTGTTTTACCCATCCAGTGGTTTCTAGAACTTGTGTTTGGTCCTTTTTCAAATCTACGTGGTTCTTTTACAATAGTCTCCTGTTCCTTACTAACCCTTTCTTTAAGTCCCGGCTCCTCTGGCGTGCACAGACAGGCAGTATGAAGCCTGACCCTCCCAGGAACACCCGCAGGGACCACCTGCCCTCCAGCCCACTGTCCACGCACCTTCACTGATGCCGCCCGCCACGCCACCCCTCCCAGCTAAGACTGCAGGAGTCCTCCTGCGACGGGCATGTTCACTGCAAAAGCCTCGCTATGAAGTCAGCTACACTCAACTGAAGCTGTGCCCCCAGCTGTCTCTGTACCTGGAACTCAAGTCTGTGGCCTGTCTCCTCCATCTTTACCTCCTAAGACTGGGGAGAGCTTTATGACAGATATTTTATGAGCTGCAAATGTACAGAATGTAAGGCACACGCAGCTGGCCTGGCGCTGGGCTCCAGCCGCTCGGTGCCGGCAACACGGCCGTGGCGTAACCTTCACCACCTCCGTCCGCATCCGGTTTGGCACTGCATTCGGCAAAGCTCCACCTCGCCCAGGCTGGGCTCTCCTTGCTTATGAGGGTTCAGGCTCCATGAAAGAGAGCAGAGGCCGCTCAACTCTACTTGAAATTAAGCAAAATAAAGTGGCTTAAAAGAATAGAAAGCAAGCTTGAGGCTCAGAGGTCCACATTCAACAGCACCTTACAGAGCACCAGGGGCACCATCATACGGGAGTGCGCCTCTGACAGGGCCACATAAACGAAGCAGCTGATAGAACTGTGCTGAATAAACACACCTGCGGTATTTTAAAGTAACTTTTAGGTATTCTTAGCTTTGAAACACTTACTTGATTGAATGATCAAACAGCGGGAGGTCACATCTCTGCCAGCACCGAAGTAAGCCAACCCAACGACCTGATCATGGACTACCCTGTCAACTCGGCCCGTGCCGGCGGCCCGGTAAACCGGAAATACAAGTATGTTTCTCTGGTAAACCGTAACCAGGACACGAGTGTATTCGACAGGAGATTTATTAACTTTCGCAGGTTTTTCTTTTCAATGTGTCTTCTAATCAGTTAGGTTGCTGGACTGTGAGGGACCAACACTGAGCACTGTCCCCTCCACAACCGCCTCTGTCTCTGCGGCCGTGTCTATGAACACGAGGGCACCGTACAGGGGGTCCAACTTCTCCCACACTCTAGTGTTTCACACGTACGGCTTCCTACTAACATGCTGCTCTGCTTAACGGTGGAAAAAATTATTATCTTTGTGGGGAGAGAACCAAAGAAAGAGAAATTACAGAGAATTCTTTTAATTTACCTTCAAATATGTCAGTTTCACTAAGGTCAGCACGAGTCACGGCCTAATTTAATTATAGTGCGCGGACGTCACTCAGACACCCCCTCTTCTCAGGCGAGCCGGAGGCTACCAGGCACCACGGAGCAAGCCACGCTGCTTGTTAATGAGATAATTAGGTGTGGTCCCCGCCGGGCTCACGAAGTCCTGCTGCACAGAAGGATGCTAACAGGACAGAAAGGAAAGGAATGAGGACCTGAGCTCTTCGAGCCGAGGCTGAAACAAAGGGGTCCTGACAAGAGAAGTGCGACGAGCCCAAGGCCGTCACCACTGAGCCCATCAGAAGCTCAGGCAGTCCCAAGTCGGTGGTGCCACAAAGACAGACTAAACAGAAGTCTAGAAGAGATCACTGGTTAAATCATTACCAGCCAGTTTTATTTAACACAGGAGTCGTGATTACAATCAGTATGGAAATTAAGCAAAGACATTCATCCTCTTGTGTGTGATTTAATACGCAAAACAAATCAAGTGTGAGTCACACCAAAGTAGGTATGTAATCTTACTTCCACTCCTCTGGTGGGTGTGCAAGTTCATACTTCTCCCTCACATTGGAGACACCCATATCCAAATGGAGCCAGTGAACCTCCTCTGACCGCAGGTGACTGAGGCGAAATCCATAGCAGGCCACGTGCTTTACTTTGTGACTGTCCACTATCTTCTGAATGATGCCCTAAAACATACCCCCCACAAAAATGACTGTTACAAACAAAAAAAAAACTGTATGCTAAAAATTAATGCAATGTTCATTTCTTTTAGTTAATTATCAGAAATCTTTGGTAAAAAGAGAATCAAGTTAAACAAATTACTTAATTTTTCTTAGGAATCTTTTTTTCTCAAATAGTATTTTTACGAACAAGGAAAAGTTTTGAAAAAACACAAAATGAGGCTCTTTCCCTTTTCTTTAGTGATAAACAAGGCATGGAAATGTACATTTCTGCAGCTCCACCTCTGCTCCATCCCCAAAACCTGACAAAGCATCCCAGCCACCCTCTGCACGTCACTTGCTGATTAAGGAGACCCGAGGACAGGGTTCCACTTTCTGAACCCAGGATGACATCTTGCTGTAGACCAGGCTGCAAGTTCAGTTTCATTTCTTAGGAAACACACTTAGAAACATACAACGAAGGCCACGCTTCTGGTGATACCGATGGCGCAGGAGAAGCTACCCGGTCGGGCCTGCCGCACCTGCTGCGTGCTCTCTACGGATTACAGTGCAGCAATGCGAACAGCCCCCAGACCCGGTGCTCCTAACATGTGCCATGAGTTCAGAGACGAAGGCGGGAGGGAAGGCTGCCTCGCCAAGATGAAGCTTATCCTGGGACTCGGAAAGGGAAGCAGCAGCCCCGAGTCCTGACCTGTGCCCGCCCAGCTGTGGAAGTCACACATGCACACAGATGTCAGTGGGCAGCACACACGGGGCCGCACAAGGGAATCCAATAGTCCGCCTGCGTGCTTACGGGAGGGTGTGCTAATCACAGTCCACTGCACTCTTCTCCATGCTCCAGGCCATTCATAATTTCTAATGACGCTGATATTAACAGGAAAATGACTGCCAAAGGAAATCGTCACTGCTTTGTTTTAAATTAGCAATTAACTGAAAGTATCATACTACTTGTAATATAATACACGTCTTAAAAAGTCCCCACGCACACTAAGTATTTCCATATTAGGACATGATGCTGTCGATAGTAAGGATGTTCCCATCCCTATTCCTGAGAAAAGAGAAGCACACGTACTATATGCGCAAAAGCGGTCAAGGACCCAGTGTGTCCCCGCCAAAGGCATCACGTGACACCTGCCCATGGCCAGCCTCCCCTTCAGACTACTGGATCCCAGGAGAAGGCTGTGTATCAAGCATGGGAGAGTGACAGGGGAGGGGAGAAAGCAAGGACAAAGGACTGGGCTGGAGGAGTCACAGGCCACTCCGCAGAGCAGACGAGCTCTCCATGGGACAGGAAGGATGTGCGCAGCCCACAGAAGTCTGGGTGAAAATGAAGTAGGCGTTAAGTGTCCTTCCTGGCTTTCGGATTCAAGGGCCGGAATTTCTGATGGGGACACCGTGAAGGACGCTGCAGCCAGTGTCTACCCAAGGGCACTCAGCCAAGGGACAGCAGGAGCTGACACCCAGCCCGCCCCGTCTTCACTCCGTGGGCTCGGGGTGGGGGATCTGCCGAGAGGAAGAGACCTCCATTTCTAGCAATTCCCTCAGAGGCGGCTTCTACAGCTTCTCGTTGCCAACAGCACGGATCTCTGAGCTGCACAGGACAGGCACTGGCGCCTCTTTCAAATCCCCACAAAAGCGTTTTGTCTTCCTGTCCCAGCTCTGCCAGTGCACCATTGAGTGCACAGCGACACCACTGCCCTCGCGAAGGCTTGGGTTCAGCGCATCTTCTCTCCACTCCACGGTGGCTCCCTGGCAGCTGGCTGATTCCAGAGCCACCTCGCTCCTGTTAGGGCCGCAGTTCACGTGCAAATCTGTCCCCAACCACCGGTCTCAGGGGGTCTATCCTTTGGGCACAGACTGTTTCTGACCATTGCACGTGCTATCAACAGTCGGGGAGAAATCCCACCTTTCTGGATGCCTTCCCTGAGGACCCCCAGCAAAGGTTATCTTCATGACCCTTCAAGGAATAGGCACGCAGGTGCCCACCTGCAGAGGGGAAGTGTACGGACGCTTAGTCCAGAACTGTGGAGCCCGGGGGAAAAGCAGGCTCCCAAACGGGAGTCTTGTGGGGTAGATACAATTTCAGTCCATTCACTTGCTCACACCACCTGAAGACACCCAGAATGACCTCAGGTTTGGTTCTGTGGAACAAAGAGCTCCCATCCTGCAGGAGCTCCTCATGAAACAAGGCTGTAACATTCACTTTTCACTAAAATATTAATAGCAATTAACACACAGACATTCCCCTTCATTTCCCGTTTTGCTTTTTCATTATGCTTCCATATTGTGTTCTGTCCTACTTCTCTAGAACTCCTCAATATCTCGTCGCTGACTCAGCTCGAGCGGCAGCCAAGATTACGGATATGCAAGGACTTACATATCTGAAGCTCAGTATACACACTGAGTAACGTAAATAATTTTGAAAACTAAATATTTGGTTCTGCGTAACTGAAAAGTAACTTTGAGAACTAAATATTTAGTACGGAATGCACACTCAAAACAAACCACCCCAACATTACTACCATATGGAATGTACGCACATATCACACGTTATTACTTCTGGAACACGCACGCTTAGTAAAGGACCTCTAGGGAGACAAGAAGACAAGGGTTTACAATATGCCACTAATGGCACCTGAATTAAATTTAAATTTCTCAACCTGGTTTTGATGTCCCAGGACAATCCCACCCAGAGTATATAAACCTACATTTAGCTACTTTGAAATATCCCTTTACTCATCTATATCATATCCCAGAATTGGGAAATATATAATATTCCTGATTAATTTTGACATGAGATATTCATAGGAAAGGGATTCAGGGATGAAAGACCCTAGCCAGTGTGGGCACCATGCTTCTGTCTTATCAGGAACACAACACGCAGCCTCCAGAGCCATTCTCTTCCGAGTGGACAGTTATCTTCTTGTTGGCTTCCTTGCTCTGGGGGAGAGCGGAAGTGAGATGTGTGCGGTACCGCCACGAACAAGCTTCTAGCTGGTGTCACACACGAGCAGCACTGCTTAAAAACAGATGCACTGGATCAAAAGCGACTTAAAAATGTGGCATTTTGGAAGTATGGCCACCAGGGAAACTACGGCAATAATACTTGGCACATAATGTTCGAGACTGTCCTTCATCTCACGCCAATGCCGGATAAAATCAATCCAAGTTTAATCAATGTGATGGACAGCGGGGTGGGGGCGGGGCATTTCATTGTTGCTCTAGTTTACCTTTCCCTGATTATATACTAGTAAGATGACGCTGTAATTTCATTTTTAAAAGTTCTTTTTATGATTCTGCTTGGTTCAACTTGGTCACTTATTTTTTAGACAATGCTCTAGAAAGAAATAATGACCTTTCAACTGGTAGAAAGAAATCCTGCAAACTGTCGCTTCACGTCCATTCACTCTTGAATATTACTCACTCATTCGGTGAGTGAACACGTCTGCATCTAGCCTACATACGATGGGTAAGACAGAACCCGTCCCCTCCGAAGCCTTAGTCTAGAAGGAGAGAGGTGATGCTGAACACATACACTAGCACGGCCAGTCTGCGGGGAAGGTGGCAACCAGAGAGCAGGAGACATTTGTTCTGTCTAGCTGTCTTCTCAGGGATTTGCAAGGCTCCTTTATCACGAGAGAGATCTGAAACCCCACACGGTGCTGTTAACAGCGCTCATCTCTTTACTTCCTCCCAGGAGCTGCAAGTGCAGTCATCACTCCTGATCTGCTCATTACAATGTCCGGCGGTTCCTGTTCCGTGTCTCTCTTTCAGATGCTCTTCAAGGTAAGGAAGCCAACTGCTATCACTGTCGGTTTGGCACTCAGCCTGAAGTCGGCCCCGAAGTCCTCCGGGACGACAAAGTCCTTCCTCCTACTGCTGCTCTGACAGATGACCACAAACTTCTGGGCTTAACAGAACACAAACGCGTACTTCTCAGTTCTGTAATATCACAAGTCTGAAATGGGTCTCACTGGGCTAAAATCAAGGTGTTGGCAGGGAAGTGCCGCTTTCTGGAAGCTCTAGGCTGACCTTCTCCAGCTGCCAGAGGCTCTTCTGTGCATCCACAAAGCCAGCAGCATTGTGTCCGACCCTTCCTCCGCGGCCCCCTCCCTCTGACCACAGCCAGAAAAGGTCTGCGGCTCCTCATCTCCCCCATCTCAAGGTCATCTTCATCTTGGTCACATCCACCATGGAAGGTCACGTATGCACCAGTTCTGGATTAGGACGTGGACCTCTTCAGGGGCCATTATTCTGCCTGCCACAATCACCAACTCTGCAGGTCTAACAACAGAGAATTAACTTCCTCATGCTTGTGAGTCTCATAAACTTCTTAACATTGCTTTGAATTCCATTTTTTTCCCTAAGGTTTTTCTTTCTAGTTTCTTCCTGGGTGACACTCTCCCTCCATTAAAGGAATAATTTAACTAAAATCTCTGTAGTCCTTTCCTGCACCAAAATTATTTGAATACACAGTAATCAGTGTTCGAGTTTTTAAACGCACATTCACCGGCTCCTCAGCAGATAGAAGTTTACATTTGAAAATGGAGACACGCAGAAGGCATCAGCGCTGGAGACCACGGGAGAGACCACGGGGCTGCTGCACACAGAGGCCTCCAGGCAGCCCTCTGCGGCTGAGCTCGGGGAAACTGCCTGCTGGGTGCCTTCCCCGACAGCCACCAGCCATTGCTAGCACAGCACGGCTCTGTTCACAGAGCTCCCAACATCCACCAACTCACAGAATCGCAAACTGTTCACGTGTTTGCGCACCCCGATCAGAAAGCTGATTTTAAACTGATCAGAATGTTTCTCTCTACTGTCATTCTTCCCACTACCAGCTCGGTTACAACAGTCCCAATCCAAACACATTCACCTTTTAGCAAACCACAGGACTGATTTCCTCTCGCAAATTCACGCAATTCCATCACCTTGCTCTAGAGGTTCAGGACGAGCACGGAAACTTCCGAGTGCACTGCACAGTCAAAAAAGAGCCTCAGGCTCGTTAGTAAACTTGAAGATGATTTGAACGTGCCAACAATACTGTCCAAAAACTCAACTGCAACTTAATCTTCAGTGGCATCATATGGTACCTGCCCAGATTTGGTGTCTGGGTACAAATGGATTGTTTCAGACCCTGTGATTTAAGGAAAATAGTAACAAGGTGGGACTGAAGGTCTGATAGAAGTTATCAGTAAGCTCAGGTATGGTTTTCAATAGGTGTAATCTCTATCAATTCAATTTCTTTTATGATTATTAGTCTACTACTTGGTACTTCTGCAACCAATGTTCCTAATTTACATTTCTGTCGGAAATACTCCATTTCCTCTAGGATTTCGTGTAGTCACTGCAATGGGGATCTGCCAAGTAGATGCTGTGTGCCTGCGAGGCCCTGCTGAAGATGCTGGGGACATCAGTAGGAGGCAGGAAGGCCCCTGCTGTCACAGAGCTTTCAGTCTAGGGGAAGAAAGCAGAGAATAAAAGAGTAAACAAATCAAGAGACAAGACAATCTCAAGGAGAAATCACCATCAAAATGGGGTGACGGGCAACAGAAAAGGTGGAAAAGAGGGAGCCCTCCTGGGCTGGGAGGCCAAGGGAGTAAGGGCAGTCACAGAAATTAGATAAGAATGGGCCACGAGGAGTCCATTCTCATAGGCCACTGAAGGAACCCGGCTTTCCTCTGAGAGAAATGGGGAGCTGCTGGAGGTTTTGAGCAAATGACTCCAAGACCGGCATGTTGGAGAAACAGCCCAGGAAGCAGCAAGTCCAAGGGAGCGAGCCGGAGGAGAGAAGGCTGTGGAATGTGACAGGGAGAGGAGAGTCAGGGGCTTCTCAAGGACCCGAACGCTCACCCTCCACGAGACAGGAAGCCACAGGAAGGTTCTGAGTGGAGGAGCAACACACGCTTTGGCTTTTTCATAGGATCACCTCGTTGCTGGACTGTGAACAGACAGAGGTGTCCCCAGGGGACGGTGGGATGTCAGGAGACCAAGTAGCTCAAAGAAGGTGTCGCAGCAGGGGTCAGATGACGTGGGTGGATTCTGGGTGCATCTGGGGAACCGTGTGGACACAAACAGCTACTGAATTAGACACGGGGCGTAAGCGAAGGAGGAGCAACAGGTGATTCTAAGTGTCTGAAAGACGGGAGGCCCTCAGATGGACGTACAGACAGTCCTTTCAGTCAGAAGCACGGAGACGGATGAGAGGGGCAAAGGCAGCTGGGCGGCACAGGTCCCAAGTTCAGAGGGAGACCAGTCAGAACAGGGGACAGGTGTGGAGAAGGCAGAGCTGGAATAAACGCTGGTCACAGCCTGAAGAGACCACGGCAGTGGAGGAGAGGTGCGAGGGGGCTGCACGCAGGCCACAGCCTACATCCCTCCAGCACTTCTTTCTGGGCTCACGGGTCTGATCCATGAAGTCTCCTAACTGTTTTCTTAAAGAGAGCCTGTGGTGTTAATGTCCTACACCCTACTTCTCTATAGACACCTTCATTCCACGTCTTCACGAGCAGTCTGTGTGGAAGACTTCTGAGGTGCAAGTTCCTTCCCTGAGCCCTGAGAAGACACCGTCCAGTGTGGTCCTGCATCCAGCACTGAGGATGTAAATGTCACTGTTTCCCAAGCAGGGGATTCCTCTGGTAGAATCTGGAGTTTCCTGTAACTCTTATTACTCCGAAGTACCACTACCATGTTTCTAGATGACCGTTCGTATTCAATATAGTCCGGCATGGGTTAACCTTGGTGCTTCGGGGTTGACCTCAACCTGAGCTCCAGAGCTGCCTGGAGCATGCGGCTGACACGGGGCCAAAGCCACGACCAAGGTAAGTGGTGTCTGCGTCCGTGGGCCACTGCTTCCTTAGGGCAGGATGCGCAAGCCCGCCAGCACTTGTCGGGAATCGTGACTGGGGGTACAACCTGCACCTGATTCTGGCGGTGCCTGGGCAGTCACACGGGTTGAGGCCGATGGTGCAGAGGGAAGGTGCTCCCGTGCCCGTCTCACAGACCCCCACAAGGAGGTTCGGGGCCTCCTCCCGCACAGCTGTGGCCACGTGGGCCGGTGATGGCCTCTGAGTGTCCAAGGCCACAGGGCCTGCCCCTGAGACTCTCAGGTCCCTTCACAAAGGAGCCTCTTCTGTTGCTGCCTGGCACACATTGCCTATAACCGGCGGGGTCCTGGGGATCCTCTCAAGAACCAAACATTGAAATTAACCATATAGGAGTAGCACATACATGTGAAAGGAGCAAAATTACGAAGTGCAGCATGAGAAATCAAACCTCTGTAATGAACTACAACAAGAATCCAGATATTTCCTGTTGCAAATAAGCCTCTCGACGCCCCCAGAGGTGGCGGTGCTTCTGAGTCAGGCAGTCTCTCTGACCGCTACTTTCTACAAGCACAACTGTCTGGCAGAAATAAAAATGCAAGCAAGCTGTATGTTACTTCAAAATTTCTAAAAAAAAAAAAAAAAAAAAAAAAAAAAAAAGGTAAAAAGAAATGGATGAATTCAATTTTAATAACATTTTATTTAACCTACGATGTCAAGAACATGGTCTTTTCAACGGGCAATCAAAACAGGAGATATTTTATATTCTTCGTCCACACTACATCTGCAGAACCTTGTGTTTGTACCAAGAAAACAGCAGCTGAGACTAGCTACTTCGGGGCGCGCGAGCACTGCACTTGGCTACTGGGGTGGGCAGCGCGGCAGTGAGGGTCGGCATGGAATTACTTCGTTGTTGTGGACGACAGTAAACCATCTCTTTGCAGAAACCGAATGGCCTGGCTTCTTCTCTGCTACCATTACTACCTGGTCTATTTCTTTCTGCCAAGTGCCCACACTCCCACTCCGAGCTCACCCCTCACCCCATTTCGGCTGCAGGTCACTGGGCCTCAAGTGCGGCCATCTTCCTTCCACTGTACTCCCGCCTAACCATGCAGGCGAGTTCCTTTATCCGTATCATTCCTTGTGTGCTGCTCCCTGGGGAGAAAGACGGCATGGACACGTGCTTCGGTCCTATTTTGTCCAGTCGTGCAGATCCATCAATTCACAATTAAAATACTGCATTTCCAAATGTCACCACATTGAATGAAAGCGGGTCATGAATCACAACCGCTTCCATCACAGGAAAAGCTCTCGTGAACCAATCAATGCCAACTCAGAGTTCTTCGCCTCAAGCTGAAAATCATCAACTGATGGGAGCTGTTAAATTTCAAACATTCATCAATTACTATGACATAAAGCCACCCGGGTCTCAGTCACATGGATGTGCTCGTACTGATCTTCATAAAAGTTCAAGAAATACGTTCTCATAACTCAGGCATGTGAATATGGCTTTTTCTTCACAATATAAATGTTTTTCATGTCTGATAAGTTTGTAACATTGGCTACAGGCTTGACATGCGCCCAGTGATCACTGGTTTTCTCCTTGATGTGGATCCTCTTGTGTGCAGTAAACCCGATACCAAAACACCTTTGTCGTGGAGCCTTTCCAAGGTGCATTTTCGGATATAATCAATCTTGAATATCTGCTAAATGTCTTGTCAAATTCACATCTCTGCAAGGCACCCCTCCTGTACGAATACTCAGAAGTTTATGAAGGCTGATGCAATGTTTTTAACAAACTTCCTCATTCACTGTAACTGAAACTCACAAAGACTAGAACATACGCTAAGAGCCTTCCCATAAACTCTACGTTTGCAAGGTTTGTCTCCAACATAAATCCTCCAATTAACATTAAGACAGAACACTAGCTGCTGGCCTTGCTACCAAGTGATTGTGTTTATAAGGTTAAATGTAAAACAAAACTACAGGAAAATTAGGAAAAGCCATCAAGCTTCATAAAAAGTTTGTAACAAGAGACTACTGCATTCAACTACAGAACATGAACAGATGTTAATACATATTTAAGCCTGAATGAATTATTCACCTTTGAATAATGAATCCGCCTGAACAGCGAGGACTCCAACATTATAGAGATAATGGGAAATTATCCCTTTAATTTGCTAAAAGTACTTCAGGCATATAAGTTAAAGAGTAGCAGATGAATTAACTTCATTCTTATGAAAAGAAAGGGGAAACAGACACATCTGTTCATCCTGCACTGGACACTGTCCTCCCTAGAGATGAACACGGGAGTAGGTAGAGGGAAAGGAAGGAGCAGTGGTTCTCTAACACGTGGACAAAGGAAACACTTGCTGAAAACTGATGTCCTCAACTCCGTTTTCTGAAAGTGCACTGCTACCCGCTCACCCCGCTGACTCTCAGCAACCTTGGCTCATCGTGCCTCTCGCCACTCCTGGCCCGCAGGCTACCAGCCACGCGCGACATCACGCAGGCTTCCTCGGCCCCAGGCTCAGCGGGGAAGCACACTCTGTCTGCCCTGCAACTAAGGCCACAGGTGTCCCCCTCCCCACCCCAGCAGACAGGAGGCTGGAGCAGCAGGGACCCTTGACAGCCCCAGAACCTTGGCAAGTGGCTGGTATAGGGACCCAGTCAGTTTTTGAAGAACCTGTCCTATCTGGGGTCATGCAGATACCTTCAAGATTCCCCTTCTAGAAAATAGTTTATTTCCTAAGTAGTAGAGGTTATTTTAATTACTTTGTTCTCTTCTATGCTAAAGAGTTTAAAAAAAGGGAGAGAGAAAAACATGCATAGCTTTACATTGATAACATATGGTTCAGTTATTATTTTCCTAAGAGGTTTTACACTTAAAGTTCTGGTCAGTCACATGTTACATGAATAAATATGACAAAGCAAAAGGTAACATCGCTGTAATACGGCAATAAAAATTTTTATCTCTTTTTGGTCTGTGCCATTAACCTACAGGCTTATTTAACCTAAATGTCCATGACGCCACCTCCAGGAAAATGTACCTACCCGGACGTCCGTCGCATCCCCGTGCCTGATGATACTGGCCCAAGTAGCTGGTTCACTGCTGTTTTCAAAGTAATGAAAGACTTTCAGCACCCGCTCCATTGCCCCGGGGGACCGCTCCGCGCCGGCGCCCAGGTGAGTCTTGGTACTCGAATGCGGTGTGTGGTTCAAGTTTGGGTCAAGGTAAGCGGCCGCCATTATTTTGGCCGACGCTGTGTGTCTGTCATACTCTAGAAGAGAAAGAAAAATGGTCAGTCACCGTATTGGAAATCTATCAAAATGTGGTTAAAATCTATTAAAAGGTGGCATGCTGGTCCTTATACTAACAACACTGTTCCAGGTTCTTCCCTTCTGGTCACGTCACACGCAGAAGGCGAGCATCAGGAGAGCGGAGACCGGACTGACCGGGACAATCCCTGCTCCCCTGCACCCACGGCGGCACAGAATTCACAGCAGCATCACAAATACTTGTTAAACGTTTCTTAACAAATTAAAAGGTCCTATTTCAGCTCTGTCAAAAGTTCACCATCTATAAACAATATCCCCTCACCGTCCTCCCTTTTAAAATCACAGCCTTTAAATCTGGGGGAAAATCTCACAGGAAAGCCAAATACGTTCATTTTGCTGCCTCCGTTTGAAAACCTGCACGTGAGCTGCAGCTCTTTCTTCACACAACGAACACTCAGGGAGTGGGCAGGACACATACAAGGCCCTGGAGCCGAAAACCCCAGAGGTAAAGCCAGGCCCTCCCATTTAGCCAGTCCCTCAGCAGGAGAGTCAGCCCAGTCACCGCTGAAAACAAAACTGAACCAGGAAGCAAAAACCAACCAAGTGTGTCCGTGTGACAGGACGACTCCCACTTGAACGTGGGGGTAGCTCAGCCAAGACGAACACTCCCACTGAGAAAACTCAGAAAAGATTAAAAACCAGCCCAGTGTTTTCAAGTCCGAGATGTTGTGAGGCAACCAGGACAGCAGGGGACACAGATGGAGACGTAAGAGACACTGAGCAGCTGCCTTTTCCCAAAGGGCATCAGCCAATTCTGGGCCTTTGAGAGCCTGAAGATCCAAGAAAAGCCACCGATGAGACACAAAGCAGCTGAGCTTTTGGCCATGAGAGATCAAGTGAGAAGCGTGGGGACCCCAGGACTCTGGTGAGCAGGACACATACTCTGCTAGGTGTCCCCTTAAGACAGTCACCAATCCTGGAACCAAGCCCAGAGGGAGCCTCTAGAAGCTGGTGAGGCTGAAGACAGGCAGAAGGGACGAGGAGTCTACCCGGGCCCAGGACATGAGACACAACAGCATGGCCGACAGACTCACTCTAGCCAACAGAAAGCTCTAGGCCCCAGCGCAAGTCCCATCTGCAGGGGAACGCTTGCTGCCTGTGCACGGGAGGCAGTCACTGAAACCGGCCACGTGCTGGGTAAAGAGCAGGATGCCATGGGCATCGGGACTGACATTACTAAAGTATATTCTGTGTCTAGCATTAAAGCTGGACAACAACAAAACAACTAGAAAATCCCTAACTGTCTGGAAACCAAGCAACGCATTTCAAGTAACCCATTAGCCAAAAAGAAACTCGAAGTATTCTGAATTTAACAATGCAATTAAAAGAAAGATCGGCGCTACATGCAGACAGAGCTGTGATTCCATTAAAATCCACACTTTTTTTTTTAAAGACTTTAAGTAATCTCTATAGCCACCCTGGGGCTTGAACTTACAACCCCAAGATCAAGAGTTGTACACTCCACCTGCTGAGTCAGCCTGCAGTCCCTAAGATCTATACTCCTAAATGCATGTACTAGCAATGAAGATCGGAAATTAGTGATCTAAATATCCACCGTCTCACAGTGCATTTAGCAGTTGAACAAAATCAAGGTTTGCTGGTTTGTTTTGACAAGAATAATGGAACTGATAGACATCTAGCAAGACTAACCAAGGGAAAAAGGTCCGGTGGAAACCAATGCCATCAGGATGAAGCAGAACAGAGAAAAGGATGTTCATAACGGGAGGTGATGACAGAGTATCAGATACTGACAAGAGAAAGTCACGAACTGTATGTCAATGAACATGAAAGTTGAGATGCGTATACAATTTTTTAAAAAGATTTTATTTATCTATTTAACTGAGAAAGAGAGAGAGAAAGAGAACACGAAAGCAGGGGGAGTGGCAGAGGGAGAGGGAGGAGCAGGCTACCCACTGAGCGGGGAGCCCGACTTGGGGCTCGATCCCAGAACCCTGGGATCATGACCCAAGCCAAAGGCAGACGCCTAACCAACGAAGCCACCCAGGTACCCTGAGATGCACACACAATTCTTTGCAAAGTACAACTTAAGCCATTATAAACTGCTGTTGTATAAAACCAAGACCAGAAACATAAAGCCGAAATAGACATCTTCCATTAAAAATGGTCAATCTGTAATTAAAATTCTTCCCACAAAGGAATATCTGAGTTCTTCCACTAATTTAAGGAATAATGATATTAATCTTACAGAAATTCTTCTAATGAACAAATAGGGGACATTTCCCAACTTATCGTACGAGACCAACAAGACAATGATACAAAACCAGACAAGGACAGCACAAGAAAACGTACAAATCAATCTTTCTTATCAACACGGGTGCAAAAATCTTTTAAAACATCAGCAAATTTAATCACACAATATTTTTAAATAACATATTATAACCAAGAGGGGTCCGTCAGAGGAATGCAAAGGCGGTTAAACATTCAAAAAGCGCTCTGTGTTTGCCGCAGCCTTCTTCCTACTGCCAACATGGAAGCCATCAACACACCCTTCAGCAGGGGAAAGGGTAAGCGAACTGTGGTCCATCCCGGCAATGAACATTTAGTGCGAAAGAGCAATGAACTACCAAACCATGAAAACACTTGGAGGAACTGTAAATGCATGTTACTGAGGGAAGCCGATTCCAACTACACGGCACTCTGAAAGTGGCAAAACCATAGAGACTAAAATTTCAGTAGATGCAGAGTTGGGGGGATGGGGCGGGGATGAAAATGTGGAGCACAAGGGATTTTTAGGGCAGTGAAAGAGTACGTATGACGTATCACAATGACACATGTCACTGTACATCTGTCCACACACAGGATGTGCACCCCCAGAGTGAACCGTACAGCAAACCGTGCACTTCGGGTGATCTGGTAGGTCCGCGTATAACGCAACCACCACTCTGCTGGGGGTGCTGACGACAGTACGGCTGTGCATGTTACCAGATCAGCGGGCAGAGGGGAAATCCCTGTACCTTCCCTCAAGTTTGTTGCAAGCCTAAAACTGCTCTCAAAACAAACAAAAAGCGTCTTAATTTTTTTTTAAACCAATCAATATAACCAACCAGATTTCAGAAAGGAGGAGAACCACAGGTGTCTTACTATATGCAGAAAAGCATCTGGCCAAGTTTACCAGCCACTCAGGATAAAAACTCTAAGCAAAGTAAAAACAGGAAGCAACTTCCTTGAACTGAAGGGGGTATTTACATTAAACCTAATTTACACAGCGCTGGGAAGAGCCCCCGCCCGCCTCCGGGAACAGGAGTGAGCTGGTGGGTGCCTGCCACGACCACCGCTGGTCGCCACTGTTCTGGAAGTCTTCCCAGCAGGTTCCATGGGCGAAAATGAAAGCAAAACTCAGGGCTGGGAAGGAAGGAAGAAAAGTATCACTATTCCCAGACTGCACGGTTATGTGTGAGGAAAATCTCTGAGAATAACATACGGTAAACTGCTAGAATCAAGAATGAATGCGGCAAGGTTGCTGGACGGTCAGACGCAAGCAACGACACTTCTGGTCGGCGCCGCCCTGTCTCGCTCCCCGGCCGGCCAGCGGGCTGCGCACACAGTGCCAGCTGCGTCCCGACAGGCAACCCTGCGTCCCCAGAGTCGCTCCGAGGAACTGGCACCCCAGCAGTGAAAGTCACTACCGCAACACCGAGCGTGCCAAGGGATAAGCCAAACCAAAAGTGTTACCGCAACACGCCTCCACGGCCTGACGTCCACGCGGAACCCGTCACAGGTCTGCAGGAAGCAGCGGAAACACGTCTCCGCAGAGAAAGCGCTGCCATCGGCTCAGCACCAGAGGCCCCGGCACTCGGCCACGGCCCCAGTCCAGGCGGCCCTGCGCGGGGGGCCTGGGGCTTCCTGCATCGGCAATGCTGACCTCGCTGCTGACTGCCGGAGCCGCAGCTCTCCCTTTACGCAGGAGACAGACACTTTTTCTGCTCTTGAAAGAAGTCCCAAGTCAGGGTGTGAGGAAACCAGGTGCTGACAAACCCTGGAGTTCACTCTGGGCCTCACCCCACGGTCCGATGTAAATGCCCCGCGTAACACAGCACATGTGAGGGAGAGAGGAAAGGAGCACCTTCCAGGGTCCCCTAGATGATCCTCGCTCTGACACGCTAAGATCCACCGAGACCTGGCGCCAGCCCTTTAATAACACTGGGCTGTCCCCAGACAGGAGGGACGCAACAAAGAACGCACGCCGACCCGCTCAATTTAAACAACTTCAGACATAAACAAGTTTGGAGAATTTTTAAGGAGTTGGTGACGATCCCAGTTCCAGTAAACCCTTCAACAAACTAGATGGGTATAAAAACTTTCTCCTTCCAAATGCTCTCCTTTCATACAAGATTTGGGTTTCTCTTCTCACAGAGTCTAACCCAAATATACTAAATTTCCTACGCGGATTTTACTTAACGAAGAGCTCACACTACTTAAATATTTAATGTTATAGTATCAGTATGTGACAGCCTGTATTTTCCCAAAGAAGCTGTAACACTGGTCCTGAACTGTCTCTCCAACAGGTGTAGGCTACGCTCCTTGCCCTCGAGTCGGGGGGTGGGGGGGACTTCTGACCAGCCTAAGAAACATCCTACACTAGGTATGATAAGGCAAACCAGGTTCCCTTGGTTCCCTTGGTTCTCTCGGGCTACTCGCTCACAAAACCCAACCAACAGGCTCTCCAGAAGCCCAAGAACTGAGCTCCGACAACCGAAGCCTGAGCCGGGCTTCCCGCCAAGAGCCAGCACAGGCTTCTGAGCCACGGGGCAGAGCCATCCTCCGAGGGGGCCCTCTGGCTCCCAGTTGTGACACCCGAGCTCCCACCACACGGAAACAGCTATCCCTGTCGAGCCCTGTCCAGACTGCAGATCTGAACAAAATAATTCTTGTCACTTTAAGCCATGCGGTGTTGGGATGACTTGCCATCAGCCACAGATAA